CGTCAGTCCGGCCACCGTCAATGCCTTCTACAATGTTCTGGAAAACAGCATTTGTAAGTGCTTTTAAATAGGTGGTGTACTAAAGGTGGTTTGTCTAATTAGCTTTTTTGCCTGCAGTGATCCCCGCTGGCATCCTCCAGCCGCCCTTTTTTGACCAAGAACTGCCTTGGTCGGCTAACTACGGCGCCATTGGCGCCATCATCGGCCACGAGCTGACGCACGGTTTTGACTCGAGAGGAAAGAACTACGACCTCTATGGAAAGCTAAAAGACTGGTGGACACTGTCAGTTGAGAAAAAGTTTAATGAAAGGGCGTTCTGTATGGCAAAGCAGTACAATGACATCACCGAACCTCGAACTGGTGAGCACCTGCGCGGAGTGCAAACTTTAGGCGAGAACTGCGCCGACAACGGCGGAATAAAGGTAAAGTTAAAGAGTTCAGTCAAAATCTCCTTTTGTTTTTGCCTCAAATTGAGCACCAAAAGGAGAGAAACCTGCCTNTAGGAAGCATTCGGCGCCTATCAAGCACACAAAAAGAAAGTCCACGATTCAAAGATACTGCCTGGATTAAAGTTTTCAGCCGATCAACTGTTCTTTGTTTCATATGCTAATGTAAATGAAATTGCATTTCTAACAGCAAATGATACATTTTAAATATTTTAATACTTTATAGGTTTGGTGCCAATCGATTACCGCAAATAAACTCAAGGACAACATAATGATGGATCCACATGCTCCTAATAAGTACCGAGTCAATGTGGTGCTGGGCAACTTTGATCAGTTTTCTAAAACATTTAATTGCCCGTCTGGCTCAAAAATGAATCCAGTAAATAAGTGCTCTATTTGGTAGAAAAATAATTTTATACCTTAATTGTCTTTAAAACTGAACTGCAATTTGGGTGATATTGATAAGTATGAAATACAGTATTACATTGTTTGAAACATTGTTATACTTGCTTCATTTTAACTTTTTTTAAAAGTTGAAATTGTTGTTAGGAAAACAGTTTTTGGGTAAAACTAAAAAATCATAGTTTAACATGTTTTGTTTACAAATATTTGCTATACAAAATATTTAAAATTTAAAAAACTTTTAGAAACATACAAAAACTAGCAACCTAGCAACGGCCACAATAAATAAAAAATTTAAAATTTTCAAAACATATTTACTGCAAAACAAACTAAATTTAAACTAATAGTCCTTTACAAATTAGTAAACACATAACTTTTGTTGTTAATTACACAAGGCCACAAAATAAAGTCAACTCNTCCCTACAACGGGTTGATATTTGGTACAATGGCTCAGATGATTTTTCTGATAATTATGCAACAAAAAGAAAAATTTTAAGTGCTCAAACTTAAAAGTTTCAGGATCCTCAAATTAAGTCCATTTTGGGGCACTGCCGCCCGCTCAATT